TTCCGAAATAGCCACACTCTAACACTTAGAGCACTAGCACGTGCTTGCAGACGAACTACCGCACACTCCCCTCGCCACTTAGTTCTCGCGCCTCAACTCACCAGCACACGGCACAACAAGGCCGCCTATGCATTCGCAGCCAAAGACTCGCCTCCCTCCCCTTTTTATAGAGTCGCTTCCACACCGCGATCCCTGTATTCTGAACGAGGGGTTCGAATAATTTTCAGAGCTCTAAATTTCAATAGTCTACAATTTTTAAGTTAATAAAATAAAGTACGAATAAACAGAGAAGGGATGGTGCAAACCAAAACACCAACAGTCACAGGCGACACGAGTGCAAATGCATGGCGAGAGATTGGCTTCTGGGTGATGATCTTGGTTGGGCAGTGGTTGGCGCCAAGTACTTTGCGGTGTGACGGGGGATGAGACACTCAGAGTGAGCGCAGGTGATTCCCCGTTGTTGTAGATCCTGTGATGAGCTCGCGTGTGCTTCTCGAAAGACAAAGCCCCTGGTCTTGGTTCTGGATCGGTTGGTACCCTTTTCTATTATGTTCGTGATGTACGTGTGACGTCTTGATGCTTATGTAATGACCCGTCATAACACAGACTGAGAACACTGCTGATTTCTGAAGTTCTACTGATGGAATGGATGCATTGCTGAGATTCCCGCATTCTGTTGTGTTTTCTAAGTTTGTCTGTGTGTGAGTGCTTGTGACCTGCGTGCCTCTCTGAGTGCTTGTCGGTATGAGTGTGTGTGTGCGACCCGCAAGGGTACTTGTTTGTTTGGCAGGCCCGTAGGGCCGGTACTTACCTGTGGTCGTGGCATTGAGGGTTGTAGCAGGGAAAAACACTCAAGTGGCGAAACTAGCGGCCCCGCGGCCCTTGGGGTAGCGGAAAAACACTCAAATAGGCCGGTAGGCCGATACTGCACCCCACTGCAGTTGGCGTGAGGGGGTACAAGAGGTCGAGCAGAAAAAGACAAAGCTGGCATTTTTAGAGTCCAGTGGCGGTAGGGTAGGTCTAGGCCGGTACCAGTCCAACCAGTCTGAGTCTAGAGCCTGTACGCGTAATATCAGGGTCTGCAATAATGTTTCCCTCCGAAACGGAGGAAGTACCGATTGCTTGGAGAGGCCGAGCGACCTGGAAGTCACCGCCCAGGAGGCAAGTAGGCCGCTATATCAAGAGGCCGGGCGGAGAGCCCAACCTCATTCTTCAGTGTGCAAGTTTGGCGACATGCTGCTGGAGCGCTGGCTGGAGTGGCGCTGGGTACTACAGCGCTGCTAGGAGGAAGAAGCCGGGAGCGTCCACCTTGGCTATGGTGGAGCTCTACCGGTAGGAGGAGGAGGGAGAAGGGGWTCAAGGGGGAGAGTGGCGAGGCACTTACTGGCTATGGTAGACACCATCTTCATCTCCTTGCTAGGCGCTGCATCAGGAAGGCCCCAGTGGGGGTAGTGCCGCATCAAGGAAGCTCGGGACAGAGTCAGGCATGGTGGCTGAGTGGGCAGCGGCATAGCTGCATGGTGATGACCTTGGAGTAGGGCAGCGGCATAGCTGCTTTGTGTTGTCCTTTGGACAGGAGGCTGAAGCCTCAGTAATCCACCATAGCCTCGGCCTGTATGTAGAGGAAGAAGAAGGGTGGCCATGGCTATGGTGGACCTCATGTTGTGGCTGCGGTAGAAGTGGGATTCGGACTTGGATTCCGGTTCAGTCATTCAACATTATTATTGTTATTTCTTGTTTGAATAAGAGGGAGGAGATAAGGAGGAAGAGATCGGTTGGCGAAGAAGAAGAGCCTTGACATTGGTCTATGCTGGAGTACATCATCATCTTCTTCTTTCTCACTTCTTCTTCTTCTTCTTTCCCTCTCTTTCCTCTCAAGTTCATTCATTTCTTTTTGCAATTGGATGGCATTGTACTTTCAGATGAATGCATACTTCGAAATTGGCCAGGATCGTAACATTGGTATSARAGCGGATTYTACTTGCTGGCGAGAGTTGACTTTGCTGCCATAACCCTAACCCTAGTGGTAAGGGCTAACCACTTAGGGTTAGGGCTGGAAGTTAGGGTTAAGTGGGGCAGCGTGGTAAAGGGAAGCTGCTCCCACCTGGCAGGGCTGTGTAGGGTCGACACTAGGCCCGACCAGGTTGCTTGAGTGCATGTTTGTGGTGGCGGGACACAAGGTGGGACTTCGTGATGCAAATTGAGAGAGGCGACAATGAAGGGCACCTACAACTTGAATCTGGACTTCAAGGAAGACGAGGAGTGACTTTAGGGCTCCCCTCAAGTAGGCGGGCTTGAGGGTGGCAGCCATATCTGCACCTACGGACTGCAAGTTGCTGCTTTGATCTTCAACATCGACGGGGGATCCGGCCTTATACTTTGGGGTAGATGTTGACCCCCCTAGATGATAGGACACTAGTGTAGAGGATGCTAATTGGGTCAGGAGGACTATGTGAGAGGGGGGTGAGTTCTTTTCATCTCAAGAGCCCGGCCACTCAGGTAAGTGTCGTGCCACCAGGGTGCCCATGTGTGTGTGCATGGAATTGACTGCCTGTTGGGGTTCTCTGGGTTCTTCTTCCATCCTCCATAGTCTTGATTGTGTGTGAGGTGTGTGAACTGCCTACTTACCTGACGAGTGAATGAATGGAGTATCTTGTTTGCCATGTGATATCTCTCTACAATGCTTTGTTTATTTCATTCTGAACGGCTGTAGTCTACAGGTTCTTTCTGGGGCAAAATTTCGTTTTTCAATTTGGTAGGGACAGAGTAGGTCTTTGTGGACCTCTTGTTGGTTGGGACCCGGTTCTGACTCCACTACCCGTTTGGGACTCAGTGGGACCGGGCCCAAACAAGAAAGGCCCCTCAGACCAAATCTATTGGCGTTAGTTACCTTGCTCTATCTGATTGGGACGCGGACTTTATGCTTTCGGACCAGGACACTCGCTGCGGAGGGGATTTCCGCTGAGACGTTTTATCAGACTTTACCGCACGATCCGCCGCCTGACTCGCACCTTGGACACCACTCAGTTTCTCTCTTGCATTTCGCTGTACATCTTGAATTCGATTTGCTGTGTTTTCACGGAGCTGAGGCCGGCTAGGCTTGGGAGGACCCCATACGTAGTCAGTCTAGACTGTGTGGCTGGATCAGATCTCTCTGATCTTCTTTTTTTGTTTTGATGACTGCTCTCCAGTCCAAATGAATTGTCGCTCCGGCTAGGAGGTCCACCTTCTCTTCTAACTGATTTCAAGCTGTTTCTTACATTGGGTTCACTAATGCCTGTGTCTACACGGTCGCAAACGAGAGAGAGAGAGAGAGAAGAGAGAAGCTTTTGAGTGTTGCTCTTGAGGGAGTGAGGAGAGGGAAGAGGAGTGTTCGTCCCAGACAAGTAAGGAAGTACGGACCCCTCTTGAGAGACTTATTGACTCCCTCGTCCTCCATCATGGCATCTGCAGCAGATTGGAAGCTGCAAATGGACGCTGCCCCTGAGGCAGAGAAAGCGCAGTACCGATTCTTCTATGAGAAAGCATTGAAGAGGGAGGAGGAAAAGAAAGAGAAGGAGAGGGAGGAGAAGGTAAAGGTTCATGAAGCCATTTTCTGTACCTTGCCTGCCCTGACCGATGCGGAGGTGGAAGAGAAAACCGTTCCACTCCTCCGGGCTTTGGTGGACGTCCGGACTGTCGAGGACCACACTGGCCAACTCGCCAAAGTGTTCGACGAACTTATGAAGTTGCGCGAGGACATGGCCCTGATGGCGCAGCAGCACCGTGGCCAGATGCAACAGTTTGCTAATGTGCAGCCAGCTCAAAGCATCCTTCCGTCTACCTACCCTGCTTCTAGTGCTGCGTGTCAGTCTGTTTTTGCCCCTCTAAATGTGTCTTCTTCTACTTCTTCTTCGTCTTTGAGTGTGGCTAACAGCCAAACCGGATCTGCAGCAGGTCCAGACCCCGCTACTGCTGCTGCAGCGGCAAGTGGCGGTGCCGGGAATTCTGGAACTGTTGCAGTCCCGAGTTCAGACCAGACAATGGCTGGTCTTAGCGGCAGCTTTGCCTACATCGACAGGAAGGCGGCGCAGATTATGTCCAAGTATGACGGAAAGGACGACATCGAGTCTTGGATCAGCTCCATGCGATCCTACTTTGATGTGTTGGGGACCCCCCCGTCAACCCAGTCGTCTATCCTAGGGACTAATGTGGAGCCCGTCGTAAGAGGTTTCTTGGAAACCCAAGCTGTCCAATCAGGCTATAAGAGAATAGACCTGAACAAATGGCTGAAGGCTACGCCTACCGCCACACTCGAGGATCTCTTGATCAAACAGTATGCTGATCCACATGCTGCAGCCAAAGCTAGACTTAAGCTTGACAAGCTCAAGCACAACAAGTGGACCGGCACCATGCATAGCCTGCAACAGTATGTTAGTAAACTCTTTGCTACTCCGGATTTGGAGATGACTGCGGAGTCTTCTTTGGATGTGATAAAAGGTACGGTCCCCTCTACTCTAAAAGATCGCCTAGGGCTCAGACACAGCGCATATACAGATTGGCTTACCCTCATGCAGGATTTAGTCAAGCTGGAAGCACAAGACCTCCCGGGTGGATCAAGTGGCAAAAAGACCACCAGCCGCAAACGGTTTCCAGGCAGCAACCGTTTTGCAGCACACGATCTGCTTGAGGCTGAGGAGGAGACCCTCATGGAGGAATCTTCTCTTGATGACGATCAAGAGCAAGACTGCGGGGTATCTTGCTCTTTGTCATCCCATGAGTCTAAGTATGTGAACGATGATGAATCTATGAATGCCTTTAAAAAGCCTGCCTTTCAAAGTAAGGGACCGAGGACCACAATGAAGAACAATACTAACACCATTCTTCTTCCCAAGGGAGCGAAAAGACCACCAGCCGCAAACGGTTTCCAGGCAGCAACCGTTTTGCAGCACACGATCTGCTTGAGGATGACGAGGAGACCCTCGTGGAGGAATCTTCTCTTGATGACGATCAAGAGCAAGACTGCGGGGTATCTTGCTCTTTGTCATCCCATGAAAGTGAGTATGTGAACGACGATGAATCTATGAATGCCTTCAAAAAGACTGCCTTTAAAAGTAAGGGACCGAGGACCACAATAAAGAACAATACTAACACCATTCTTCTTTCCAAGGGAGCGAAAATTCCACCCAAACCGGAAGATCCTGCCACCAAACCATGGGTAGATCTCCGGATTAGTGAAAGTGAGTGGAAACACAGGGTGAAGAAAGGGGTTTGCCTGCATTGCACCAAACCGGGACACTCAGTCCAACAATGTTTCAGATTGCAGCAGGGAAACCAGCAATGGGGGTAGAGACATCATCAACACACTCTACAGATGGAGAGGCTGAACATGTAAGTACAAATCCTTCTCTGGATTCTGATCCCACTCAGCAAACCTCTCCTGAAACCCCATCTAATGCTGATTCCAAGGCTGAGAAGATACACATCCTATACAAGGAGCCTTGGGTAGAGTCAGGAGAAATTGACTACCATGCTCTGTTGACGCGCTGGGTTCATATGAAGCAAGAACGCGCGCAAGGGAGGACGAAGTTGATCTTCTTCAAACTCTACATTAATGGTCGTTACATCCGTGCGTTGGCTGATTGTGGTGCAACCACCAACTACTTCTCACCGCGCGACATTCGTAAGGCACGCTTGGGAATGAAGCAAGTGACCTTGCAGAATCCTTGCCGGACCCAAGTGGGCAACCAAGAGGTTGTCACATCTACGCATGCAGTCAAAGGTGTGCGCACTACCTTTGACGCTGACCGCACGATCATGCATGAGTTGAACTTCTATGTCCTTGATCAGTGCCCCTTCGACGCGGTTATTGGCTTGGGCTGGTTGCAGGCCCAATGTGAAAGAACCACGTGGAAGGACTCACAATTCATGGTCAAAGATGCCATGGGAATCGAGMGTCCAGTCCTCTTGGATGAGCCGCGCGAGTCCCAAGTAACCTTTCTCAATGCAATGCAATTCTGCAAAAAGTGGCGCAGGCGCAAAGCTGATGAGCAAATGTATATAGCCTTTGTTAGGCCTGCTCATGTGCCTTCTATTTTTGCTGTACATAAAGATTCTACTTTGCGTATTGTTTGTACCTCGGATGCAACTACTGCTACCTCTACTAAATCCATCTCTAGTCCAAATGACTCTATTTCTAATCCTGCTGTGTTGGTTGCACCCATGACATCCGATATGCTTGCTCCGGAGAGTGATGATCCCTCTCCGCAAGTTCCGCCGGAAATTCGCAACCTTCTCAACCGATTTCCTGAAGTCTTGGCCGAACCGCATGGAGTTCCCGTGCATCCAGTCCGACACAAGATCGAGTTGATTGAAGGTAGCACTCCAGTAAAGGTTGTGTCTATTGAATGGGCTCAGGCGAATTGGAGGAGTTGCGAAGGCAGATTGATGAGATGATTGGGAAGGGATGAATCAAACCGAGTTTGAGTTTGGTGCACCGGTTCTGTTTGTCCCTAAGAAAGGAGGCAAATTGCGGATGTGTATTGATTACCGCGGATTGAATCGGATCACAAGAAAGACTGCATATCCTTTGCCACGTATCGATGATTTGCTTGATGCTGCAGGTGGGGTCAAAGTCTTCAGCAAGATCGATCTCAAGTCTGGCTACCACCAGATTGAAGTCGATCCTGCAGACCAGTACAAAACCGCATTCAAAACTCGCGATGGGCTGTACGAGTTTACCGTCATGCCCTTCGGCCTCACGAACGCACCAGCCACCTTTCAAAGTCTCATGGACAGTATTCCGCAATCAGATCAACCGGTTTGTTGTTGTTTATCTGGATGACATACTCATGTTCAGCAAATCGATGGAGGAGCACATGAGACATCTTGAGAAAGTGTTACAGGTCCTCAAGGAAGCGCAACTCGATCTCAACTTGGAGAAATCTGAGTTTGGGAGGGATAGCGTCATCTACCGTGGGCACCGGTTGTCTGCTGCAGGTCTAGAGCTTGAGGCAACCAAGGTTGAGGTCATCCGCAATTGGCCTCAACCGGCAAATGTCTGCGAGTTGCGTTCTTTTCTTGGTCTTGCGTCGTACTACCGTAAGTTTGTGCCTAAATTTTCTATCATCGCCCGTCCGCTGTCTAGATTGACCAGCAAGAATGTGTCCTACATATGGGATGGGGAATGCACGACAGCCTTCCAAGCACTAAAGGAGGCCTTGGTGAGTCATCCGGTGCTCCTCATTGCAGATCCCAAACTCACATTCGTAGTAACTACGGATGCCAGTTTGTATTGGATTGGTGCAGTGCTGCAACAAGATGACGGCGACGGCTTACGACCGCTAGAATTTTATAGGAAACGTATGCCCAGTCACAAGGTAGCTGCCTCCACTTACATGCGAGAACTCTATGCCTTGAGAGAGGCACTAGACCACTGGAAGCACTACCTCTTGGGTCGCCATTTCAAAGTGTTCTCAGACCACGAGACCTTGAAATGGGTTCAGATACAGAACAATCCCTCAACTACGCTGACCCGCTGGTTGCATGAGATTGATGTGTATGATTTTGAGATTAAGCACAAGAAAGGTTGTTGTAATCGAGTTGCAGACGCTTTGTCGCGCCACCCTGAGTACATGACTTGCCTTGTGGGTTCCTATGACCTGCGTAAAAATCTGAAGGAGGAACTCATATAGAGCATACTGCCAAGGTTCCGGAACTCAGTCCCATCCTTGAGAAGATTCGGGTTGACCCTGGCAGTCAGCCTGATTTCCATGAATGTAAGGGCCTTCTCTTCCGACGTTATGGGAAGCATGACCGATTGTGTGTGCCCAACCATGAGCCGATCATGACTCACTTCTTGGATTTGGCTCATGGCCGGAGTGGATATTTCGGTGTTGAGAAGACATACGGGAATCTGTTAGAAAAAATTGTGTGGCCTGGAATGAAAAGGATGGCACAAAGGTTTGTGGCTGAGTGTGAAGTTTGTCAACGCATCAAACCGTCTCGACAGAAGCCCTATGGGCTGCTGCACCCTCTTCCTATCCCTCATGGCCCGGGTGAGTCTGTTTCCATTGACTTCACGGACATGGGGAAAAAAAGCAGAAACGGTTATTCGCAAGTAATGGTGATCGTCAATCGTTTTTCCAAATTTTTGAATCTAATCCCATTACCACCTCACGCCCCAACTGACCTTGTGATCGAAGAACTTAACAAAAGGTACATCCTGCAGTGCAGTCCCCCGAAGACTCTTGTGAGTGATCGGGATACCAGGTTCATAAATGCAGATTGGAAGGACTTCACCTCCCAGACCTACGACATGAAACTCAAGATGACGTCTGGTCGACACCCCGAAGCCAATGGACTGGCCGAGGAGATCAACTAGACCGTGATCCAACTTCTCAGGGCTCTTATCGTGCCTGACCAGAGCTTTTGGGATGAGGAGTTGCCGATTGTGCAGGGGTTGTACAACAACTCCATCCACTCCTCCACCGGGATGACGCCTAACCGACTGCATCTTGAGAAGGATCAACAATCTTTAAGACAAGGTAGTGAGTCATGATATGTTCCAACCGTTTGAATAAGGACACACAATCTTTATCCCACAACCAAGGTCTTTCTTTCTTCAATAATCTTCTCATAGGAGCAACTATTAAAGAGAAGTTCCTTACAAACTTCCTGTAATAACTAGCGAGTCTTAGAAAAGACTTGAGCTCAGTGACAGTCTTAGGTTGGGGCCAATCTCTAATTGTGTTATCTTTTTCTTTTCACGCCTTAGTTCCTCTTCATTCGCTATATGCTTTAAGTATAACACTTCAGGCTTAGCGAACTCCGACTTCTTAGGATTCACTTTGAAGTTGCCTTAACGCAACTTCTGAAGAACCATTTATAGGTGCTTCTCGTGATCCTCCAGTGTCTTACTATACACGAGGATATCATTGAGATAGACAACTATGACGGAATAATTCATTCATAGACCTTTGAAAGGTAGTAGGAGCATTAGTCAACCCGAAAGGCATAACCACGAACTCATAGTGACCATACCTGGTTCGGAAGGCTGTCTTGTGTTGATCTTCAAAAACCACCTCGCTCTGGTGGTACCCGTATCCATGCAAATTGGTCCAACAAGTCGTCAATGCGAGGGAGTGGTTCCGCGTTCTTGACAGTAACGGCATTTAACCCACGATAATCAATGCATAATCTAAGTTCAACTTCTTTTTTGGGCACTAATAAGACAAGAGCACCATAAGGAGATGAGCTGGGGACGAATCCATCCTTTCTCAGTGAGTTCGTGCAATTGTTTTATAAGTTCCTCAAGTTCCCTAGGAGACATGCGATAGATAGGACCTTTGGGAATCTTACTACTGGGAACGATCTCAATGGTGTGCTTGATAACATGCCAAGTGATTCCCGTTGGCTCAGTTTGCAAGTCCTTATGCTCGTTGAGAATCTTCTCAATAGTAGGAGGATAGGATGAGGAACACTCACTTGCTCGCTTAACGAGCACCATCATTACATCCTGGTCCAACTTCTTCTTTGAGACCATAAACTTAAAGGTTGGATAACTCATGCAACAAAAGGACAGTGACGAGTTAGAGCCAGACTTGTGATACAATTTAATCGTTTTCAGTTCAGACTTTTCTTCCTTAAGCTTAACGATCTTCTCCTGGAACCTGACTCTTGTGTCGACTTCCTCGTGCCAATCCATTCCCAGAATCATGTCAAAAGGTATGTTGTTTTCGATGAGAAAGGATATTTCATGTAGAATCTTCTTTCCTTCCTTAGTCCTGAAATAACATTTAACACGATCGACATATTGAGAGACAGTGATCGTGCTTTTGTCAACCAACATAGACGTGATAGGTCTAGGTAAATTTCTTACCTTCATTCCCAGATGCAATTTACTTGCCTTCTTTGAGACGTAGGACTGCGTCGATCCTGGGTCGAACAGAGCACTTACTCGCATATGTGCAATCTCAATATCCACGATCATCAGTTCACCCTTAGACTTAGCTTTCTTAGCCCATGAACGCCTAAGAGCTATGAGTTCAGTACCGAGTTCGTCAAGGGAATCGTCCAGGGAGACAGAACATAGAACAAAATTAGGGTGTGTTGGACGATGCGCCGAAGAAGAGCCATCCTCTGCCGTATGGGTCGAGGGGTTGAAAGGAGTCCTTGGCGCCTTACCTTTGTCCGAACCCCTCAACTCAGTAGGAGAAGATGCTACCCCTACTGGCTGCTCCCTTTTGGTTTCGAATGTGAGGGCATCATGCAATAACGTGCCCCACAATGCCATATTTCAAGCACTGTCTATTGTCCATTCGTTCCTGCCACTCTTCCCGTAACAGACCCATCTTCTCCCAAGCCTTTCCGGCTGCAATGCCGGGGTGCTCGGGGAAGGAGCGTGGCCTCCTCTTCTTCTTCCACTGATTGGTGCCACCCTTGTTGGCCACCACGACAGCGACGTCACCCTTTCAAGACTCGCTGCCGCCATTACCTCCTCCCTCGGACTCGTCAAGGGGTAACTTCTCCAAAGTGTCGTCGTCAAAGACGACGAACATGTGGTCCTGTCGCTTTTGTCGCCACAGGACACGCTTGTCGTACCTGCCAACCGGAACACTCTTTACAACAGACGCATATGTCCCTTTTACTCGTGCGGTCATTTGCTCCCTTTGGGGCGCGAGGTCACAAAGCTGCCTATAGCTGTACTTACCGGACTTGGCTTCGGCCACGAGATGGGTTTGTCGCCACAGGATACACTTGCCGTATTTGCCAACTGGACCACTCTTTACAACAGATGCATATGTCCCTTTTACTTGTGCGTTCATTTGCTCCCTTTGGAGCGCGAGGTCACACAACTGCCTATAATTGTACTTATCGGACTTGGCTTCAGCCACGAGATGGGTTCAGGCAGAGCACGCGAGAAGATGTAGAGGACTTGATTGTCTTGCAGGTTTAGCCCTGGTAGCTGCAACAAACAATTAACCTCACGTGACAATGCGTCAACAGAGGTCCAACGCTTTTGGCCTATCATAGTAAGCTCATCAAAGGCCTTGTCGACCGTCCTTTTGTCCAGGAATCTCTCCTTAATCTTTTGGAGAAATTCCCGGAGGGTCAATGTTTTGGCCCACTCACCTATATCCTCGAAGCCGGCAGCGTTGGACTTGGACAATACCCATTCCTTGGCTGTCTCGCCAAGACAAGACGTCGTGAAAGCCATTTGGCTCTCCGGTTTGACCGGTACAGTACTGCAATAGGTCTGGATCTCTGCAATCCAAAGCAACAAGTGTTCTCCTCGCTTTCCATTATAAGTAAAAGGTAGCTTCATTTTCACCTTCTCTTTTCTTTTTGGCTTTTCTGCTTCCTTGGCCAGTTCTTTCTTGGCGGGTTCTTCTTCTTTTCCGTCGGCTTCTCAGGTTCCTTCTTGGAACTTTCAGGTTTCTCCGGCGTCACTCTCTTCGTTGCATCCTTCATGAGTTTTTCCTGGGGTTCCTTTCTTTCCTCTCCCCCCCCAGTCTCCTCCTCAATCCTTACCTTGTCCTCGTCCTTAAGAAGTCTGGTCACCGTCTCTAACGCGGCGGTATTACCTCAATTTTGGTCTCAAGGGGAACAAGATAAGTCATCATGACCTGCAGTACGGATGCAAGATCAGTTTCCGTCTCTTCATAATGAAATTGTTGCCTCATTTCATCCAACATTCTTGCTGTTCTTTTTCTTCTTTCTTTCTCCGGTATCCTTTTATCTTTCTTCTCTCTTCCCTTAATGAATTTTCTAATTGTTTGATGTTTTCCTCCATGATTTCTTCAGACAGTTCTGGTTCTTTCTTTTTCTCTCCTCCTCCTTTTCCCCCTGTTGTTCTCTTTTTGTCCATCTTCTCCAGATGTTCGACGACATAATGATCAAGGGCTATTCGCCCTTGTTTGACGAGTTCCTCGACTCGCTTACCGGTTTCCAGCATTTGAACGACAATTTCAGCGGCCTTCGGTTCATCTTCTGCAGCAAGCAGATTGAATTGTCCGTGAACATGCCGTTCAGCTTCTGACCCGGCTCCATGTATCTCGCCGAGCAATTGGTGGAGAAGGCCTATTAACGTTTGCCTTCTCGCATCTATCTGACCACGGGTTTTCAAGACCCCTCCCTCTTCATCAGCATAGACGGTGAGAGGGATAGGAAAGAAGAAGAGAGGAATGTATCTTGTAAGAATGGAGGCACGTGGACATTTCCATAGATAAGTCATGTTTCCCAGCGTGTGATTGCCGCACAATAAATATTTTGAAGACAAAAATAAATTCCATGGCCACACTCAAAATCTCAACAGCAAGAAATAGCAACGAAAACAAAAAAGAAACAAATTTCTATTATTATCTACTTCTAACTTTTGTTGTTTGTCCTATGTGTGATGACGTCCTAACGAGAGTGTACAGGTACCGCAGCCACGGCCAGTGAGCTCAAGACACAACAACACAGGTGAGTATGCAAGGCAACCACAAAACAGCCAAGACAAGTGAGTAAGTCAGCCAACACAATCAACAACAATCAATTGTCAGCATTCTTTCCTCTATGGCTGTACTATCTGCAGAGCCAATTCAGCCAGCCACAAGGGCCGGTACGTGGCACTACGGCAAATCATGAAGTTGTACCGCCTGCCAGCACACAAGTGCACGTATCAACAACACCTCACCCACAGCAGCGTGCCAAGCATGCCACGTGTCACCCTTGGAATGCCAACGCAGCACATGTGCCACGTCAGCGTCAAGAGCCAGCACGGCCTTCTGGAGAGATGCCACGTCAGCAATGCCTGGACTGCCAACTCATCCAACTCTGGTATGCCACGTCAGATTGAAGGAACACTGCTGGAGTGTGGAGCGCCACATCAGCAGGAAAGTCACGACACAGGTACGTGCCACGTCAGACAATGCCCTGCCAATAGTAGGATGCCACGTCAGCACCCCTGCACCATGCC